CACACACACACACACACACACACACACACAATCACTCGTTCTTTGCGTGATAAACATATTTTATTCTTATTTTTACTTAGGATTTTTTTTCTCACTCACTTTATATTAAATTCCTTATTTTCCCGACTCTATAAATCATCTCTGATCACAGGGGTCAAACAGACGTGTCCTTCACACATACAGGAAGTAATTAGCATCTGTTTAATGAAGGCGTGTCAGGGGAGGAGTCTCACCTGCACTCAGTTCCACGTTGATTGTGATYTACAAAAGAAATGTGCGTGAATTCAAGCATACGCAGTTTTCTGGATTTGACCGTACGCCACGTTCCAGAAAGAAATCCACACGAGTCTTTGTACATGAGGCCACAGGTCACTGCATTAATCCAGACCAGGTCCTGTTAGTCCTCAGATCGGTGTTCTTCCTCTACCTGTGCAGGTGTGGGAGCTGTCATCAGGTGAAATGCTCTTGTCTGTCCTCTTTGATGTGGAGATCATGTCAGTGACCTTTGACCCCTGCGAGTACTTCCTGTTCTGTGGAGGAAGTGATGGCAACATCTTCCAGGTGTCTCTGTCCAGTCAGGTAAGTGTGAGTAAAGACTTGCTCCATGTTTTACAGGGTGTCCAGCTGTCCTTACATCCATCTGTCTAAAATTAAGACCTTAAATTAGTTAAAACCAAAAGTTGGTCTTACTTTGGACTTGACTTTCAGTGTAACTGTACCTGACCTCGGTGTGTCTGATCTGTCCACCTAAAGGCCAACAAAAGGCCAAAACGTTCCCAGAGCCACAGTGTGGTTTCAGGGTATTTCCTGTGTCAGGTGTGTTTCAGGTACTGAGTGTCCTCAACTCATACTTCTTCTATCAGTTGAACTGGTTAATTCATCAGCTAAATGAAACCTGCTGGTTTTAATCTCATCAATCAGTCAGAGGTTAATTAACTTCTGCAGGAGGTACGGAGCTGATATTTAAAGAGATAAATGATAGAGACAGACTTTTCTCTGAACTTTTCATTTATTAATTCAGAAAAGTTGAAATGAGGCTCATCTGATACCTGCTCTCCAAAATAAGAGTTTCTGATTCTCACTTGGTRACAGTTTTCATTTATCTAACCCTCCCGCTGCCCAGGGGTCAAAATGACCCACAAGGCCTCTGTTTTATTACTGAAGGTGGTTTTATATGGTCCCAGAACCCTGACCCGTTTCAACCTGCTGGCTTTTGTCTCAATAAACATTGATCATTTGAAATCTGTACTTTTTATCTCCAGTTTCTCAGTCGGGAAAAATCCTTCCAGTCTGCCAGTGAAGGCACCCAGGTGTTTAAAGGACACAGGTGAGGCCGCCACAGAGCATGACTCTGACCCTGATCCTGGTTCTGGTTTTGGTTCTGATCTGTGGTTTGGACCATCCTTAGGAACATAGTAACGTGCCTGTCTGTGTCCATGGATGGGACTCTCCTCTTGTCTGGATCACACGATGAGACAGTTCGTCTCTGGGATGTTCAGAGCAGACAGAGTGTTCGCTGCCTCGCACACAAAGGTAAGACCTTTGACCCTTAACATGTTGAAGGGCCACAAAGGTTGCTTCTCTAAGCTCATTGCTGGTGTTTTTCTCTCTGTTGTGTTAACAACTGAGCTGATAGCACTCCAGCACTGTGCCAGATATCAGATGTTCYATTCAACTCAATTTATTRATACAGCTCCAKGTCCCAACARACYTTGTCTCAGGACACTGTAGATAAAAAGAACAATGTAAAGAAGAAAGCAGCAGATTGTGTTGAATCACTTCATCACAGTCTCCCATCCTGAGCAAACGGTG